GATAAGGTAGGCAGGGAATACACCAGTAAAGAGTTCACATTTAGCCGAAACCGGTTTGGCTCAGTGGATAGAGCGTCGGCCTGCAGACTGAAGAGTCCCAGGTTCGATTCCGGTCAAGGGCACATGCCTGAGTTGTGGGCTTGATCTCCAGTAGAGGGCGTGCAGGAGGCAGCCAATCGATGATTTTCTCTCATCTTTGATGTTTCTTTCTCTCTCCCTCTCCCTTCCTCTCTGAAATCAATAAAAATATAATAATAATAATAATAATCAGCCTCACATCAGTATCCCCAAAAAGCATCTTGAGGGTCGCAGAATTTTGGTCCCTTCTGTTTATGAACACACGTTGGCCAGGTGAACATTTTCAGTAAAGACGTGTGTGAGCGCCACCTGATGTCGTCCATATGGACTCGATGTGTCTGCGTAAGTCGGATCCACAGCACATGGCTCCCTTGTGCCTAGGCTTGCACGCTCGCCAGGAGGAATGCAGACGTCTTCCTGAAGTACCTGCACAGGAACAGCGTGAGCATGCCGGGCATGGTGACGCACGTCAAGGCCCCGGAGCAGCAAGTGAAAAGTGAGTCAGCCTGGAGGCGCGCGTGACAGCGAGGGGAGGGGCTGGACGACATTGCCTGGAAACCCCATCCCGGGCTTCACTTTAAGGTCCATTTCACATATTAAAGCTCTGACTCATTATCTTAGCTGAGTAACAAAATATTAAATATACAGATTGGTAATCCTATATAATAAAAGCCTAATATGCTAAGTGCCCAACTGTTCGTTCGACCGTTTGTTCTACCATTCGACCAACCATTCGACCAGTTGCTATGATGTGCACTGACCATCGATGTGCTCTGACCAGTAGGTTAGCTTGCTGCTGGGGCTAGCCTATTGGGACTGGACGAGAAGAGCCGGACACACCCTGAACGAATCCATACACCAGGCTGGTTTCAGCCCAATCCCCTCAGGTCAGGCCGAGGGACCTCTAGTTTATTCAATAAAGTTGAAGAACATGCACAGGGAGAAAAGGTATAATATATATTGGCATTGACTGTTTTGTTAAAGTAAGTAAAAATATTATAAATCAGGAAAAAATGCAAATGAGAGTTATCTGCCGGTTTCATTGATTGTATGCTTTCCTCCGCGCTCTCTCAGATATCTTGAATGAGCTCTTCCAGCGGGAGAACAGGGTATTGCATTACTGGACCATGAGGAAGAGGCGGCTGGACCAGTGCCAGCAGTACGTGGTCTTTGAACGAAGTGCCAAGCAGGTCAGTCGCCCTGGGCGCCCTGCCCCCACCCTGTATTCCGACCTCCATTCAGCAGGCTCACAACCACTTGCTAATGATCCAAACAGTCGGGCCTTGTCATGAACAGTTTGTTCTGAAGAGAAACCCCCACAGCCTCATAAGGCGTGTCTCTTGGCGAGTGTAGCCCTCAGCTTGTCTCCGTTGGTTCAGACAGCAAGTACAAGTAAGAGAAGATGATTTAAAAATCGTCATGGAATCTAGGCTCTGTGTTTGCGTAAATACTGTGGTGGGTGCCTTTTTCTATCGCTGTATTTATGTGTGCAAGATGAGAGTTCGTTCTTCAGATAAATCGAGCAAAAATAACGTAAGAAATGTGACAGAATGTCTAACAATTCGGTGTAGCCAACCACGTTCCTACACTTGGCTCATGCAGAGTCACCTGGAGGGCACGTGGGAAGTGTCCCCCTCTCTGAAGTCCGTTTGGGAAAGTACTTCTGCCTGAACGTCAGTCATGGAAGGTCGTTTTAGGTGAAAGCCTGTCGCACCCCTAACTCGGACACAGGATCCCTGTCGCTCCTCTTGGGCCTTCACGGTAGCATAAGAACCCACAGGGCCGCTCACATGCTCCAGGTCAGACCCGGACCAAGGTGCCTTCTGAATCCACCTGTCCACCTACTATGTGCTGTCGCAGGCCAGGCATTTAGTGAACTCTTACAGCCTAAGAAAGATGGTGTCTTCCTCGCACAGGCTTCCTCTTAGGGAGCACGTTTGTTCCCTGTGGGTAAATGTTCGTCTGGCAGTGGGTGGCCTGGTCCCCAGAGGCGGCGGAGCTGGGGGGCGCGGTCCGCGCACCTGGCATCCTGACTCGGCCTGTTCTCGTCTCGGATGACTGTGCAGGTGTAGTCATCATATTCCCAACAGAGGCGGGAAGCAGTAATGTCTTTAATGGTTAAATTATGTTTGCTTACCATAGTATTTACAAATAATTCAGCCATGTTTGAGACTTATGACAGCTTGGTTTTGTTCCTAATTAGAGATTGTTTCATAATTCTTTCCCACATCTCTATTATTTCTCTGTTGAAAGACAAGGAATCACTCAGCTACACAGAACAAAATTGTAAATAATTCCCTTGACAGAGAAATGGTCTTGCTTTTTCCTAAAGCCCAGCTTGTCTGCCAATTATAAAATCACTAAGTTTAGTCCCTGAGCAGTGCCAACCCACTGGCCCTGCAGTCCTGTCGGGTTCTGTACCGATCGCAGGTGCATAGTAGGTATCCATCGCTCCTGGAGAACCTGTCCCCGGCTGGATCAGGTCTCAGGATGGCGCCCTGAGGGTCACTGGGCGGAGCCTCACTGGAAGGTGTTGGAGAGGTGACCGCACTGCCCTCCCCCCAGCATCCTGCCCACCACTGCCCCAGGCTCGCTGCCCCTCCTCCTCAGCCCACCTCTGAAGGCTGACTTTCCCCAGGGCTCAGTTGGGATTTGCTCTTGTTTCTCTTTCTTCTCTTCTCGGTTGCTATCTCCCAGCCCTCACCTCTATTTCTGGCGTCCAGACCTGTCCCCGCAGCCTCCTCCTTGGCAGAACTGTCCCCCACGTCCCCCTCATCTTACAGGGTGTGTGGTTCCTGATTCCTGTCTTCCCCTCATCGCCCCACCTTCACCCTTCATCAGTCTTGTGAGTGCAAACCTCCCCTGCGTGTCAGATCTACCCTTCACTCCCAGCAGAGCCGTCATGCCATGTCCTGTCTAAACCTCTGAGCCAGTTTGCTAATTGGTGTTGTTCCTTCCACTCACTCCGTCCCTTCCCGCACAGCAGTCCCTGCCCTCCACAGCCTCACCCCCAGCCTCTCCCCATGAGGGACCAGCTCCCTCAGCTTGGGACCATTG